AAAGATTTTATTTATTTATTTGAGAGAGAGAGAATGAGAGAGAGCATATGAGAGGGGTTAGGGTCAGAGGGAGAAGCAGACTCTCCGCCAAGCAGAGAGCCCGATGCGGGACTCGATCCAGGGACTCCAGGATCATGACCTGAGCCGAAGGCAGTCGCTTAACCAACTGAGCCACCCAGGCACCCCCTTTTATCCTGTTTCTTTAGGACAGCCTTCCGTCCTAGGGGTCACCTTCTGTTGCTTAACCACCCCCAGTGGGCGGGCTTTACTTTGTACCCAGTCTGTTAATAGTGCTGCAGTAGATAACCTCCCGTTCCTTTCCCACAGCGTACTCCTTCCCTGTTCCTGCTGTAACACATTATCTTATGGTTCCGTGCTCTGGTGATTGGGCCGTCCTTTCTGCAGGCTCTCGGGGAGGTCTGCTCCTTGTTCATGGCCTTGGCAGGCCCCGCGGGTCTCTGCTGGCTGTGAACCAGGCAGCCCCAGCTTCTAGAGATCACCCACATGCCTCGCCCGCCTTCCCTTTTCTCTGTCTTGAAAGCCAGGTCAAGCCCTTCCAGGCTTTGAGTCTCTCCTCCTTGCATCTCATCTCTGACTCAGCTAGGAAAGAGTTCCCATCTTTAAGGATTCCTGATGACCTCAGGCCCACCCAGATAACACAGGACCCTTTCCCTCTTAAGGCCCGTCACCCCAGTCACACCTGCAAGGTCCCTTCGCCTTGCGGGATGCGTGTTCACAGGTTCCGGGCATTAGGGGGAGGACATCTCCAGGGACAGGTTGGGGGTGTTATTCTGCCCACCACACCGTCATGAAAAGTTCTTTGTATTTTGATTTGGGTAGATTTTTGGTGACTGGTCAGGGGAGTGTGTGTTTGCATTTCTGGTAGATACTGCTGGTCTTGGTTCTTGCTTTGGACTGAATGCTTGTGTCTGCCAGAATTCACATCTTCACACCTGACTCCCCCAGGTGATGGTGGCTCAGTTGGTTAAGCAACTGCCTTCGGCTCAGGTCATGATCCTGGAGTCCCGGGATCGAGTCCCGCATCGGGCTCCCTGCTCGGCGAGGAGCCTGCTTCTCCCTCTGACCCTCCCCCCTCTCATGTACTCTCTCTCATTCTCGCTCTCTCAAATGAATAAATAAATCTTAAAAAAAAAAAAAAAGAATAGTTTGAATTAAACATAACCACTTAAAGATACTGATTATTTTTCTTAATTTTCTTAATTGTGTCTGTGGTAATTAGAATCATTTAAATTTGTTTCTTTGATTTTGAAATAGAATCTTATGAAATCCTTGATGATGGTGGTGATGTTTTTCCTTGAAAAGCAGTTGTAAAGGCAGTGACACAATAAACTTTCACTTTTGCTGCCACTATTATTTTGTGTGTGTGAGGAAAATTTTTATTTTGGTCAAAGTAATACATGTACATCCACATTTAAGTCATATAATTCACACACATATATATATACACACACACACACACAAAGGTAATTCCATATGTACATACATATATACTCAGAAGCAAATCAAAACATCCAGCAGTTTTCTGCCACCTACTTCTCTGTTTGTGATTGCCACTGCGCAATAGACTGATTATACTTTCAACTTTTTTAGCTTTTATCCTTTCCGTATTATCTATTGATTTAATATGGAAGGTAAAGACTTGTTTCATTCATGCTACACCTTATACGCATGTGCCCACCCACTCCTTTCCCTTCTCACATCTTTACTAGGTATAGCCCAAGCTCTAGTAGAGTTGTAACA